TTTAATATGCTTTAACCCACTACACCACTAGGGAGGGCCCATAAATAAATAAATCTAAAAAAAAAAAAAACTACCCTCTTAGCAGCTTTCAAGTGTTAAAATTACTATGCTGTATACAAATCTCCAGAATTTGTTAAGCTTTGAATTGGAAATTTGTATCCTGTCCAACGTTTCTCCTTGCTTAGGTAATTAACTCTGTGTTTGAGGGTTGTTTTTTTTCCAATTCCACATAAAAGTGACAGTAAGCGTGGTTTGCCTTTCTCTTCCTGACTTATGTCAATTAGTATAATACCCTCAAGTTCATCCAAGTGGTCCCAAGCACCACGGTTTTCTTCCTTTTCACAGCTGAGTAATATTCCTGTATGCATACACATACCACATCTTTATCCATTCATCTGTCGATGTCTAAAAAAGTAAGGAACTATTCATTTTAGAGCAGGTTTAGATTTCTAGAACTATTGTGGAGATCATATAAAAAGTTTCCGCCTCCCACCCCCCAGCCTCCTACTCCTCTCATCTCACAGCACTTCACACACGTACCCTGACCACAGTTAACAAAGAGTGTGATCACTTACATGAGACAAAGTCCGTAATTTATTCCAGTTTCCCCTCAATGCCCTTTCCTGTGCCAGGGGCCCACCCAGGCTTCCATGAGACATCTGTTGTCTGTCTCCTTAGCTTCTCTTGGTTGGGACAGTCCCCCTGACGGGTCTCGATGACCAGACAGTCTGACAAGGGCTGGCCGGACATGTTCTCCTGCAATCGTGGTGTGCTGGGTGCTTTTCTCCAGTTAGACTGGGTGATGTGTCTGGGGAGGAAGACCCCAGGAGGACAAAGCCACTCATACATCCTGTCAAGGGCACTGCTGTCGACATCAACAGTAACCTTGATGTTGACCTTGACCACCTGGCAGCCGTTGCCAAGTGTCTGCACCTCAGAGTGACTCTTTGTCGTGCTTCCAGAAGAGCAGCTGCACCTCCGGTGGGGACTTGGCCCTTCTCACGAGCTTGGCGATGCCGTCAGCTATCTGGGATTCTCCCCTAGGAGAACGCTCTCTCCCTCCCCATTTGCTTAAGTATTTATTCAGTCATAGATCTACAGGTCAGTCAGAGCTCACGGATGTTGCATTACACATTGAATTATAATCTAATGCTGTTTGTTGCCCAGTTTTTTCCCACTTTGGGCACTGGAAGTTCTCACTTGGCTCCTGGGTCATTGACCCAGTTGCATACATTAAAAAAAAATTTTTTTTTAAAGATGTATTTATTTATGCACACAGAACTGGGGTACAGCCAGAGGTGCAGGGGCGGTGAGAGGGTTCCCCACACACAGAGTGGGGAGCACAACAGGCAGATGATGCAGTGCACTGCTGAGGGGCAGCAGAAGAGGTCTGCTGACCCTGTGGTCACCTCCGTGGTGGGGATCGAACTTGCACTAAAGCGGCAGCAGCCGGCTTGCGGTGCTGCATCCTGACCCGCTGCACCACATGGGAGGACTCTTACTGTTGTTGTTGTTTTTAAACTTTCTTATTCCTGGAACTATAAGATGCTCCAGACTTATACAT